TCCACCCACGGCTTCCAAGACAGGAAAGCAGAGAGGATGCCAGTGTGCTGTGGATTTTCCGGATGCAATAGGGCCAATAAATGTCAGCCACTTCAGGTTGGATTGGTTGCAGCAGGTACTGAGAGGATGAGTGAGAAGATGATTGAGAGGACGCAGAACATGTCCATTGTGTCCCATCCAACAGTCTGACAGTGAGTCCAGTGGATTCACACAGGATTGAGGCCCTAATTTCTTTAAAAGGTCCCGCCCCAACAAGTTAACGGGAACATCACTGGAGAGGACAAAGGGATGGGTTGTAGATTGGGTCCCCACTGACACTGCCAAAGGTTTAGACACAGACAGTCTTTGTTGTTCCCCAGAAAAACCCACAACTGACACAGTAGAAGTTGTTGCATATTTTTCATACTCAGAGTCTTTCAAAGTAGAATAGGTAGCACCAGTATCCACTAAGAAAGGGAGGGTCTTGTTCAAGATAGTCATTTGCACCATAGGATCTGCCCCTCCTCCTATGTGCTGGGTTTTCTGTGGGGTGTGTCACTGCTGAAGATGTCCCTCTGGACCATGCCACTGAGCCCAGTCACCGGTCATGCTGGGGTACTGGCCAGTTGGAGCCATTTGTGGATTAGGAGCTGTATGTTGTGCTCCTCCTTGTGGGGGACCTTGTCCCTGTTTCAGAAAGCAGTCTCTGGCCCAGTGTCCAGGTTTGTGACAGAAATGACAAACATCCTGTMCTCTGGGTCCCTGCATGTAACCACGGCGGTAACCCCTACCCCGCGGTCCTCCTCTAGCCCGCCACTGGCCTCTAGTGGGTCATCGAGGCTGCTCATAAGTGACTGGAGGTGTTGGCAAAGATGGCATCGGGGGTGTGACAGGTGACTCTGCTACAGTTGTCACCAATTGTTTCTTGTCCTTCCTGGGATTTACCACATCTCTAGCTTGCTTTAGCTGAAGTTTGAGTAGCTGGGTTTGCATGTCCTCTAAATCAGCCTTTGCTTTGTTAGTTTCATCAGCAGCTTTCTGTAAGTGATGAATTAAATGTTTTTCCCACATATCAGAATTAGCAGAAGGCAAGTCTGGATTAGATTTCATAGCGTCAGTCACCGAGGCAGGCACTCCATCCAGGATAGCCTGTCTGAAAAAATGTCTTTGCTCTTTACTCTGGCCATGACAGTGTGTCCTGTCATGCCAATCCTGCTTACACTGATCTAA